CTCCAGTCTGGGCAACGGAGTGAGACTCCAACTCAAACAAACAAACAAAAAAGAGGTCAGCCCCACTTTATAGTAGAGAGGAGAATTGGGGCCCCACACCTGCAGTGGGCGAGGTGGACAATTTGGAAGATGGTACCAGCACCCAAGGGACCCAGAGAGGATGTGCCACTGTGAGAGAGGGTGTGACAGAGAGACACAGGACAGAGCAAGGGCTCCTCCTCATGGGTTTCCAGATCCTATAAGACTGCTTCATTGCCCAGTAATAACATAGCTAACAGCTAATGATTACCGAGGGCATGCCACAGGCTCTTACCGGCATTCATTCATTCATCCAGCAAATATCTATGGAGCATTCACCTGGCCGACACTGTTTTAGGAGCTAGAGACACATCACTGGATAAAACAAAGACCGTGTCCCTGTGGAGCTAGCATTCTAGTTAACAAAGTAATTAGTTTAAAAATATTTGGTGGTGATAAGTGCATTTAAAAAAAATTAGGGCAACCCCTTTGGGTCCCCTCCCACTGTGGGAGCTTTTCTGTCCTCTTAATAAGTTCTACTTAAAAAAAAATTGGTCGGGCTCGGTGGCTCAACTTGCAATGCCAGCCCTTTGGGAAGCCGAGGGGAGTGGATTACCCGAGCCCGCGGGTTCTGACTAGCCTGCAGAACTTGGCAAGACCTTGTCTCTACGAAAAATAAAAATAAAAAAATTAGCCGGGCATGGTAGCGTGCGCCGGTAGTTCCAGTTACTTGGAAGGAAGGCTGAGGTGGAAGGATCGCCGGAGCCCAGCAGGGTGACGCTGGGATGGCCGTGAGTGTGCCATTGCCCTCCAACCTGGGAGACTCTGACTCAAAAAAAAAAAAAAGAAATTAAACTGGGCATGGTGGTTCACACCTGTAATCTCAGATTTGGGAGGCTAAAGCAGGAGAACTACTTGAGCCCAGGAATTCAAGACCAGCCTGGGCAACATGGCGAGACTCTGCATCTACAAAATTTTTAAAAATTAGCTGGGCATGGCGGCGAGTGTCTGTAGTCCCAGCTACACAGGAGGCTGAGGCAGGAGGTGGAGGCTACAGTGAGCCAAGACTATGCCGCTGCATTCCAGCCTGGATGACAGAGTGAAGTGAGACCCTGACTCAAACAAAAACAAAAAGAGAGAACATAAAACCTAGGAAGGATCAACTGGCTTTCCCCTGAAGCAGGTCATAAGTCCCTCATGTGAGAAGTAACTTCCCCCGGTCCAGAGGAAGGGAACAGCCTCATCTCTAAAGACACAACATCACAAAGGAGAATCTGAAATGATAGGCCTTGCTAGTTTCCCCCAGTTTATTATCATGAGGTTGGACTATTTGTCCAGTCCTGTTTCTTCACCACAATTCACTTTTTCATCCAACCTAGCCTAACAATGCACAGGTTTCTTGAGGACAGGAGTTCAAGACCAGCCTGGACAATGTAGTGAGATCTCATCTGTACAAAAAACTAGCTGGGCGTGGTGGTGCATGCCTGTAGTCCCAGCTACTTAGGAGGCTGAGGCAGCAGGATTGTCTGAGCCCAGGAGGTTGAGGTGGTAGTGAGCTGTGATCGTGCCACTAAACTGGGCAACAGAGTGAGATCCTGACTCAAAAAAAAAAAAAAGGCACAGGCTTAACCCTTTCTTTGGGTCTTAATTTTGTTATGAAGTTTCCTGTGTCACGTAAAACTTAAAACGTGTAAACATTCCTCTTGTTAGCATGCCTTTTGTTATGGGGCCTCCGCCATGAACCCAGGGTGGGCAGAAGGAAAGAGATTTTTCTTCCTCTCACAGCGCAGCATTGCAGGACCACCTTGTTTAATCTGATCCCTTGACGTGCCCAGGGAGGAAATCGAGACCCCCAACAAAGTGGTGACCCACTCCGGGGCAGACACATGAAGCCGGCACCAGCTCCAAGCCATGCTAGCTGCTTAAGGGGTGCTCTGTCTGAAAAGGAGGGGCACTGGCCACAAGAGCTCCTCCTAGAGCCGGAAGATGGGTCCCCGGGGGCTCCAGTTTCTGTAGGTTTGCCAACATTCTGAGTTGCATAAAGTTGAGGCTAATTAAAACTTGCAGCCAGGTGCAGTGGCTCATGCCTGTCATCCCAGCAATTTGAGAGGCCGAGGTGGGAGGACTGCCTGAGCCCAGGAATTCGAGACCAGCCTGGGCAACTTGGTGAGACCTCGTCTCTAAAATGGATCAAAAACTTAGCCAGGTGTGATGGCGCACACCTGTAGTCCCAGCTACTTGGAAGGTGGAGGCAGAGGGATTAATCGTCTGAACTCAGGAGGTTGAGGCTGCGGTGGCTGTGATCATGCCACTGCCCTCCAGCCTGGCGACAGAGTGAGATTCTGACTCAGATAAATAAATAAATAAAATAAAATAAAACTCGCAGCTCTCATATGGGACTATCAAGCAAATTGTAGTGGTAACACTCCCCCTGCAACCGGTCATTACCGTAGCAAGTTGACTTTCTTGAGCCATTAACAAATAAACAAATCAGGGGCTGCTCCTATAATGTTATTACAATGCTGTGGTCTTTAATGAGTTGGCATCTCAGACTCTGCAGACTGCTGAGAACAGCCGGGGAGGGGGGACTCGATGCCTGGTCAAACCTGGGGACTCAGGGGCTTCTCCTGGCCCAGTCTGAGGGTACCAGGATCTCTAGGAAGACTCTTCCCATCCCCAGTTGGCCCAGAACATCACAGGTGCTGTCACTGAGCCCTGAGCTTTCCCATAATCAGCAGGAGTGGGACCTCCCCTTCAAGAACCTGGGGTGGGGGGCATGGTGGCTCACGCCTGTAATCCCAATGCTTTGGGAGGCTGAGGCACGAGGATCGTTTAAGGCTAGGAGTTCAAGACTAGCCTCGACAACATACTGAGACCTGCTCTCTGCAAAAAAAAAAAAAAAAAAAAATTAGCTGGGCATGGTGGCAGGCACCTGCAGTCCCAGAGACCAAGGAGGCTGAGGTGGGAGGATTGTTTGAACCTAGGAGATTGAGGCTGCAATGAGCCGTGATCATGCCACTGCATTCCAGCCTGGAGTAAGGCCCCTGACTCAGGAAAAAAAAAAAAAAAAGAACCTGGGTGTGACATCACTGGCAAGTCACTTAATCTCCCTGAGCCTCAGTCTCCCCGTGAAAATAAAACAAACTGAGATGATATGATGAGATACGGATCTCATGGGGCCAGCCGTTAGAGGACTAAATGCAGAAACTCAGGGTGCGTGCCTAGTCCGGGTCGCATCCCAGAGCGGAGTGAGGCTTAGGGATGGTGCTGGTTGTGATTGTTGTAATAGCCAGTCACGTTAGAGCCACGCCCTTGTCAAAATCTACAAAGCACTACGTGAACACAGAGTGAGTCTGGTTTTACAATTATCAGTTTAGATCTACCGGACAGGAGGCCAATCTGAGTTCTCTGAAAGTCCAGATTTCAGAACATTTTAAAGGAAGTGCCATCTGAGTATTTTCTTTTCTTTTCTTTTCTTTTTTGAGTTGGAGTCTCACTCTGTCGCCCAGACTGGACCTCGACCTGCTGGAATCCGGTGATCCTTCCGCCTCAGCCTTCCAAGGAGCCAGAATTAGAGGCACGCACTACCACGCCCGGCTAATTTTTGATTTATTGTAGACATGAGGTCTCACCAAGTCACCCAGGTGGGTCTCGAACCCGCAGGCTCAGTCAATCCACTCACCTCGGCCTCCCAAATCGCTGGGATTACAGGCTGAGCTACCGAGCCGCCCCATCTGAATATTTTCAAATGTGTACAACAACACAAATGAATAACTAGAGATAGTTTCCTGATAAAGATCTCATCCACCCGACTTCCTGCCATCAGCAATTGGCAGTGTCTGGACCATCTTGGAACCTCAGCTCGACCTTCCTTGTGCAGACAGTCCCTCCTCCAGCCTCAGCTTCCACACCTGGAAAGGGGGAACAGCCACACCGGCCTTGTGGGCTTTTGGTAAGTAGAAGAGTCTTGCAATGCCCGGGAAGTGTTTGGCCTGGGGCCTATTGTTAATTTGTAACAAAATGTAATGAAGTTCAATAAAATGTGTTTTTTCAGGCTCCTTTCTAGAAGCGATTTTCTCTTTCAATATGGCCTTATCGACCTTTTCTTTGTAGATTATACAGGGCACACTTCTGTCTAGGCCAGTTCGAACTAGTCTAAAATCTGACTTTTGGGTGTGTGGAGTCATGCAGCGGTTCTTTGCAATGAGTCCCGGGCAGGAAGTGAGATAGCGGGATTCTTATCCCAGCGCCCAGGCATGCAGGGCCAATGGATTGGTGGCCCGGGTCTGTCCCCTGTTCTCTCTGGGCTTATGTAGGGGTTGGATCAAACAATCACCAAGACCCTTTTCTTTCTTTCTTTCCCTCTCTCCCCTCCTCCCTCCCTCTCTC